AATTATTTAGTCCAGTTATCGGCTACACCGAATAAGCTTTTATTTTAATAAAGTTCATTTATTTGTTTTTCCTGTAAATCTGTATATGAAAAAGGTTGCGATTTGTTGGATATTTTATGAATGAGACAACAAAAAAGTTATTTGAATTTTAGAAAGAGGGTTTATAAATATAAAATGGGGGAAAAATTATAAAATGGATTATTTGGTTAATTCAGTTTAAAACCATGTTTGTAAAAATATAAATGAAAACAAATAAAATAAGGCAATCTTATTCGGTTAATCAAACATTTTTACCTAGAAACTATATAACTCAATTTTTGGGTTATGCGGTTTCGATTTTTAACACCCTTATGCAGTATTAGCAGTAGTCTGCCAAAGTTAGCGATTTCAATCAAAACTAACATATCAAATTTTTACTCTACAATCTGCCATCATGTCAAATCATTCAAACATGGACGATCCCTTGTAGAAAATTTGAAGTTGTTGTATGTTATTTAATCGATCTATGACTTTTTTTAAGTGCTTGACAAAATATTTTACCATCCTACATTCACTAAGGGGCCGTTTACCTAAATGCTTACCCGGTAAGTGCTTCACATTAGGAGTCAACACTATACTTTTATTTTATTGGGTAAGATTATAGTACATCAAAACCTATCCTATACAACCATTTACCTGGTAAGCACTTACCCAGGTAAGAGACGTAACCCTCACTTACCGGGTAAGACTCTCCATCCTTATCATCGCTCTTACCGGATAGGATTCTTGGCCCTTGCCATGTTCATCCGGTGAGAAAAATTACCCGGTAAGTACTTACCGGGTAAGCGTTTAGTAAACGGCCCCTAAGAACCTTATGGCAACTTTCCCTTCTCTAGACTTTCGTGGCTATTGTTTAGCCGAAAAATAAAGGTTTTACCAATTCATGATCGTGACCAATTTACATGCATGGTTCCGAATGGCAAGTTTCCTTGGATGAAAAGGTTTGGAAGGTTTCACGATCGTGAAGGAATAACCATGTGCGATCGTGAACACTAGTCAACGACTTTTTCCGTTCTACTTTTTGTACATGGTTTTTCATCTTTTCATGGCATTATGTCTTTGACATATGTTTTCTTGGGCCTCAAATATTTCATCTAACGTAGATGGAAAACATGTGTTTTTTTCGCTAACTTATACTTTCATGATTATAGTTTATTCTAACCTCAATTGAGGTACAAATTGCAATAGGAATATGTAAAGAATGATTGTGGAAAAAAAATTAAAATGGTATTTTTAAAGACCCAATAAAGAATACCGAGTTATATAGCCTGCCATTTGACACGTCCATATAATAACTGATTAACGTTTAAACTGTTCATCTAAGTATTTCTTTATAATCCGTAAGTGTGTAAATATGATAATGGCTTACCCTGAACGGGAGCCAAGGCATTCTAGATATAAAAATACAAGAGGTTGCAAGGTTTTTAAAATATTTACATAACAACCCAGTTTATGTCTCCTCTCTAAGACGTGCATACGTCTCCCACAATTTACCAAAACAAAATGTGTTAACTAACTTGTACACAGTTTGGTAGCATAACAGATGTAACTTGAACATATATTTTGCTGGTTTTAACCAATATAATGGAACTTTCTTCTATAAGCCTATTCAACAATGGCAACACAAACTAATTAATAGGTGTTTATCCTATAAAACTAACCGATCCTATAAAATAAACTAACTCGAGTACGAAAATTGAACTTATCGTCACTCTAGCCATATTTGTGTAAAGTATATTGGAGGATTCATGGACGAACCAGTCGTATACGAAACAACCTTCCTATTGGTGCAATGCATCCTCTTAAAAAGCCCAACAACAGTGGGCTCGCGGCCCCATGCATCTCTCTGCAATAAACAACTTAAGYAGTTAATATACAACAAAATCATATATATTCATAAACTATATACATAGTATAGTAGATGATAAATTACCATGCGATCCCGATGCTGAATGACACTTATTGATCCTCCAACATGCATGGACGATATCCCCTCATACTGTACGTCCCTATCCCCTCATACTATATGTCCCGATTGGCCCTAGATTGACGCCTAAAACATGTCGGTTTCTACACCTATTAAGACATAACACATAAATTAGTATTAAACAATTACAAAACGTTACAAAGATTCAACCACATGTACCTGATCAATCATATCAATCCAATGTTTCTCTGGGATCTAGTCTGGGTAGTGTCCCGTAAGAGGTGTGAAGTCCTAACTCGAAGGTCACCTAATATACATCTAATGCACGTCTTACAACCTATTTACATGCATATCTCATTGGAACTGGGTATTTATTCCATAAGGTACGACAAATGGCATTGAAAACGTCAGCCCCCATAAAGGGCTCCCAGCAAAACTTACCATGTATATGTATTGTTTGTATAAAGTAAAAAATTGAAAAAAAAAATAGTTTGTAGAGAACTATGTACAAACCTAAAAATGCTCGAACATGAGTCTTATGTGAGCCTCAGAGACATCCCATARTGAGCCCATGGACCACCGAACATTGACCTAAAGATGGAGGTGATCTCACAGACAACAGGTTTGCCTAGAAACCTTCACAATTACAAAATATACAATAGAAAATACATTAGCATCAATTTATTATTATATGGTAAAACATAATAGCACATCAACTTGCCGGATGCCTGACACCGGGACGAACGATCGCTAACTTGGATGGCGAGGTGTTCACGTCAAAGTATTAAGGCCTTCCGTCCTCGACCCTGATCCAGGGGACAGGATCCCAACCCATGTCGCATCCCCATGTTGAATCTAATCTAGTTCCTCGGTGAAAGTTCCAGCGACGTAATCTTCAGACTCATCGGGGGATTTAAAATACTTAAATTTCATAAAAAATTATTTATATTTTTATTTTGTATAGTTACTTTTTTTTTTTTTGTGCTAAAAGAGGGTTGGCTAAAATAGGCCAACCCGTGAGTTTAGAGAATCAACTAGTAGGAGCCAACAACGTGAGTTTAGCGGATCAACCAAGAGGAACCAATCACATAAGTTGCCACAATGGAATCTCAACCTTCTTCCATATACCAACCATTCATTATCAATCTTGCATCAYTCCATCAATCTGGGATAAACATAATTCAACCACAATTCAAGAAATGAAGAATATTCGTTCTTGAGGAAGCCACCTCATTCTTTGTGGGTTTTACTTTAGTATATACTCAAAGGAATCTTAATCTCGTTTCATGTATAATTCATTGTCAATCTTTTAGCCAACTAACCTTTTCATTTTCAAAGGAATATTTCACCCCTTTATACCCATATTCATTTTCAAACTAAAGATTTACCATCAATGCGGGATAAACAAAGTCCTACCATACTTCAAAATTTTAAAATACTTAACTCTTATAAAGATTTATTTATCTTATTTTGTATGTTTAAAGTTTTTGCTAAAAGAGGGTTGGCCAAAATGAGCTAACCTCACAGTTCAGAGGATCGGCCAAGAGAAGCCAACCCTATGAGTTGCCACAAAGGCATCTCAACCTCCCTTCATGTATAACCATTCATTGTTCATCTTTTTGCCCTAGCATTTTCATTTTCATTTTCAAATAAATATTTCACCCTTTATACCCACATCAACTCTTCAAACTAATTATTTCCCTTCTACGTGGCATAACCAAAATCATATCATACTTGAAGATTTTAAATCACCTAAATCTTATAAAGATCTTTTTTATTTTTTATTTTGTACGATTAACATTTTTTGCTGAAAGAGGGTTGGCCAAAATGAGCCAACCCATGAATTTAAAGGATCGCCCAAGAGGACCAACAACGCGAGTTTAGAGGATCGGCCAAGAGAGGCCAACCCCATGAATTGCCATAAAKGTATCTCAACCTCCCTTCATATATCAATCATTCATTGTCAATCGTTCATCATTTCATCAATGTGGAATATACAAAACTCAACCACGATCCAAGAAAAGAAGAATATTCTTTCTTTAGGATGCCACTTGAACATTCTCCATGGGTTTTTTTTCCTTTCAAATATAACCATTCATTGTAAATTTGTAGCCAACTAAACATTTTCATTTTCAAATGAATATTTCACCTATTTATACCCGCATCCATTCTTCAAACTAAAGA